ATCGCTGTTATATCCGACGAAATTTATAACTATATTTCACGCGGAGCAATTATTTTGGCGTCCGTAATCAGGCAAAATGCACCGTAACGTAAACGTCAGGTAAACACAAATTGAACAACAAAACTGTTTTAGTTTCAATAGTTTGATTTTCAATCAAAGTTGCAGGATGAATTAAATACACGGTCAGTGTCTTAAAATATAAGCTGTATTTTGGCTCGGGACAGAAAGACAAAAGTGACTCGCCAGAGGCCCTTCACTTTTGTCTTTCTTCACCCTCGCCAAAACACAGCCTATATTTAAGACACTGACCATGTATTCTCTGTCCATGTGCTGGTATACGGTGAGACCCTCGCATTTCTGTATGTTGTTGTTGCCTTGGTGTTGTGTGTCATTATGCCGCTATTCATGTCTTCTCATATATATATATATATATACTACTATTCTGATCGTATATGTATGTGTATAGATCGGTATGCTGTTAGTCTTGTCAGGTCGAATGTAGATACGCTGGTATGCTATTAAATCGGTTGTATGTTTGTATTTGTCGGACAGAGGAAGCTGTTGACAGAGATGGTTAGCCGCTCGCAGTTTATATTGTCAGACATGCATGCTGACAGTGTTGAAACATTAAATATCTTGCTTACAATCTAATAACGCCAGGTTTACTGGTAATTGATTTGTGTATTGATTCTATACATAGAGAGGAGTAGACCATATTATCTTGTTTTACACGAAAGGAAATTAAGGCACTAGGCGACAATTATAGTGAATAGTGTAGCCACTAGAAAATGGATATAATGGTCAAACAGCATTTAATTTGTACATTTATCGGTAGGATAGATTGGCACTTTTCTCAATTAGCTCAATTACACCTGTGAAAGATTGAATCTTCAAAGAAGAAGACCTTAATCATCCCATTAGGTAAATTGTCAACTGGTTCCACCTGAGGGAGAATGCGCGTGATTTCAGGCGCGACCGGAAGTCGGCAGACTGTCGGTAATTGTCAGAATCATGTATAAAGTAATGGTGAAAACAAAGTTGTTAAGATGTGTCATATTTACAGCTTTTTCTATTTTCCCCTAAAACGCTGGTCATATTTCTATAATTCCAGGATTACTGAGTTATACAGAGGCAGCGAAGCGGACAGGTGGATCCATCAAACTGACAGCAAGACAGGGGGCGCTGCGATCGGGTGATACCGTTTCCCGGTTATGGCCTGACAAACCCACATTCGTTGTTTTGTGTGTCGCCAAAAACGATTGGTATCTAAATGCCACCTCAGTGATGTCAAACATACCGAGGTACTGCACATTACATCAAAGAACAACACTTATCGTCAAGATTTTAATTCACTTTTGCTCAGAATGTAAAAATCGTCGATTTCCTGCATCGAGAGTGTTAATGAACAAAGATGCGCAATTCTACATCCGGTATAAAACTATGTCAAGTAACCGGACGTTACGTCACATTAACAGTACACCGCACTACTCTGCTGTAAACAAACCTCTGTTTAATGACGAACATTACGTCACAGCGACGGAGCATGATGTCATTGTACCATGCATATGTGCCACATAACGGACGTTTCAGAACGGCATCACTGCGCCCTCTGGTCGTGTTAAGTGGCGGTTATTAACCTTGTTCGATAGTTTTATATAGCCTGCATCCGGTCTTTCTTGCAGTTAAAAAAATTGAATCAAAGTTACCAAGATTAATGACCAACAGCATATGCAGTCAGTTCTCGTAGAACGTACAACAGGCGCTAACACTTGCTTGTTGATGGGAGAGACGGGACTTTATTGTATAAAACATTTTCACGCCTGAAATTGACAGTATTAATTAAATAAAAGTGTTTTCGAAGTGTTTATGTTTTGCATGCGAAACCAATTAAAGTTAAATGACATTCTTGTTCACGCCATATTAAACTCAACCTTTCAATTAACAATAACACTGTGTCGCCGGACGAGATCGGCGGTCGGCGTGATCAACTCAAAGGGCGCAAGGATTTTCAATATGCAAATTAGATTTGTAATCAGTGACCTGAATCCTTTGTGGATATTGAACACGACGGGAACACGGGAATTACATTTACAGGGCGTGCGCGGGACTATAGCGACCTCTAAGAGAATTATAGTACGGGCGTATGCACGGCCGATAACTACAGTTTTCCTCACAAAGGCTACGTGTACTTCATATTCGTTTGATATTTGCATACCATTTTAGAAATCAAGACACCTACCAAAATTTAATTTTCAATTCCAACTGAATTTGGCTTTGAGATGGGTGGCAATGACAAAAAAACACAAGCTGTTGCGATTATCGCACATAAAGCTGTGAATGACACCACTGGTGAACTCTAGGTCATCGAGGTTTGCCGTAACCTGCACGTCACATTTTAATTCATTCGAGTAGTGACATGGTTCAGAATATACACATATATTTGACGCTGTTTTAAAATCATCAGATGTATGAAAATTACAAAATATCTTAATTTTGGGGCTGCTATGCTTCCTCGTCTAAATTTTGAATTTTTCATTCCGTCACTTTGGATTTGACCTCAGTAGCCTCCTAGGTTTCAAATTTTAGGTCCTTATTATCACTGACGAGTCCTAGAAGGACGAAACAACTGTATCATGCAATTTTGATTTATTGTTTGGCTACTCTAAATAATTACAAATTGTTAATGACGTCTAGATCTTACTACATTTGCAAATGAATTCAAACATTTATTTACCTTGTTAAAATTTACCTCTGTCTGGCCAAGAATTGAAATATGACGATCAACGCTTGTTACCGTGGGTAACTGCTTTACAATGGAAGTTTAACCGACGTCAGTTCTGCAGGTAGGACATTAGAGTTGTATCTGCGATAGCCGTAGCTTGGTTATGGGAGGCGACTAGATCGTTTAGCAACACATTTATTTCTTCTGATGTCTCCTTGACATAAACAATTTTTGGTTTTTGAGTTCAGAGTTTGTCCTTGTGATAAAGGCTGCGCTATTGTCATTAAACTGGCACTTTTGAGCTATCTGTTTGTCGTTCAGTCTCGAAATGGATACACAAAGATTGTTCAAAAGAACAATTGTCGGTATTATGAGACTGAGTTGGGGGTCAAACTATTATGCCCAGGTTATACAACATTTCAGTGTGATGACACTATAAAAAGTCCATTAGTGGTCCTTTCATCCATGGATACTTCCCTAACATGGCCATGGCTGTTGACAGTCTGTACGTCTCAAAAACAAACAAATTAACTATTCAGTCCAAATACTAGTTATCTATTTTTATCTGCATGAGACCGACCTTGATTTTATTTTGGTCGGTGCTGAATTCAAACTACACAATGGGTAGTCCGGTGGCGCAGTGGTAACGCACTAGCCGACCGGGGTTCGATTCCCGGAACGGACGTGGAAAGGTAAGGGGTCACCTGCCCGACCACGTGGGTTTTCCCCGGGTACTCCGGTTTCCTCCCACAATGCGCGCTAACATCCGGGCCAACAAGTATAATTATATGTATATGATTAGTATAAATTGACATAACTTGTTTCGCAATTGTTGTAAAATAAATAAAGTTTATATTTAAACTACACAATATACATCATAATCAGTATCCAAGGATGAATTGATCAACAGTTTTTATCATAATCCAATAATGCTGGGACTAAATAACACAAAAACATAACGCATGTTTTACTTTTTATCAGTTACATTTCAAATTTTCAAAAAGGCACGAAAATATTTACAAAAAATGTGTCTACTCTCATTCAATTTTTAGGTTTGAATACAACTTCACATTCACAACTAGAATTGTTTCAGTTTCATTATTATGTGTGATAAAATCATTTGTTACTTGCATTCAAATGAATATCTACACAGAATTGTGAATGTTAAATGTCTTCTAAATCTCATTTTCGGTGAAAAGCGTTGCATCAAAATTAAAGGTATCATGAAAACGGAGTTTCTCGAACTAGTTCAATTGATGTGGTTTTAGGGGCAGAGCCCAAATAAATCTGTGTGTCATTTAAATATCTTAGCGATTATTTCAGCGGTTGGTAGGTCCAACAAGGGTGAATTAGTCATCTGTTTTATTAGTTAAACAATTCTATGAATAACTTACAGACAAAACATATGTTTTTCTTTTTATCCTTTACATTTCAACATCGCATTTTGAAGACCCACACATATAAAAAAAAAAAAAGAAAAGAAAAAAAAAAAAAAAACCCATCCTCTGACGAACAGAAATACAGATCATGACCTGTTTGTACACTACATCATATACACAAATATACTACATACATGTACACCATACATATCAGATACAGGTTTACTTACAGCACAGTCACTACACGTATCATAAACCCTTAACCCTTTCTATTCTCAAACAGTGCCAGGTGCTGAGCATTTACTTTGCTTGAGAACTTGACAGAAATTTCTGTTCAATATACAGTAGGCCATACCAGTAAAATTTTATGTTTTATTAGAAATTGAAAAAAAAAATGATAGGATATAGGATCATCACTACATATTTATCTTATCTACGGTTATCAGACAACTGATAGCGAATTTTTTGTACCGATTGCATAACTGACATATTTTTCAACGTTATTACTCTAACTGTAACATTTCATGTATTTGTTTTATGACTGAATTCGTGATGACGAAGTCAGCTGATCCATTTGTCGATTTCGTCGTTATGGTGCTAAATACAACGACTGTCCAACTTTTACAAAATGTATACAAATTGTTATCCTATCGCTTGTATAGTCCTTTTCACAGACTAAATAATTTATTTAATACAATTTTATAACATATTCGGTGTCAATGATCATCGTGACGTCATGTTAATCATGGTGCACGTTTGACTCTAACAAACAAGCACATCAAACCATTTTAAATGTTTTCGGAATTGTCCTACAGGTATAAGGTACATTTTAAATTCAGTTTGAGGTCCATCACACGGAATATGTGCTGTCTCCCATAACATATTTACTGTAATCACTTCTATTGAAATGAAGCCCTCACTACCCTCCCGTTTAAGGGCTGTACTGGGCGGAAGTTGTCCACCAGCCGTCCACTTGATGTCTTTCCCGGCGAATCTCCTTTACTGTAGCACAAAAGTCGACGGAACTCTTCTATCTGACGAAATAAGTAATAAAATACATTAAAATCGACAGAATTCGAGATATATCGGATAAATGGTTATATATTTGCTCAATTAAAGTAACCATCACGACAAATAAATTAAGACATTTCAAATCATGTCACTGCATTTCTGTAGGCAAGAAATAATGTATGAAGGGAGGTAACTCTTATATCATTAAGTTTTCCACGAAACGAATACATGGATTCCTCACCTGTCCAGGAAGAGTAAGTGTTAATTAACGGGATATACCTACCTGTCCGGGGGACACCAGGAGCGGGTACCGAAACATTATCCACGTAGTGTTCTCAAAACAGGGAGGAAAGGTCAGTGATCCCTCGTATGACCAGTAGTCCCGTAGGTCGGGGTCTGTCGTTAATAATATTTCAAAATACCGTCAAATTGTTAGTTTCATAATTATATGTGCTAAAACCAATCGTGTGTTGCATTCCAAGGATTATTACATATAATTGTGAATGTTAAATGTCTTTTCATCTCATTTTCAGTAAAAAGAATGTAGCATAAAAAATATTACGAGAACGAAGTTTCTCGAACTAGTTAAATCGAAGTGGTGTACGGGCAAAGCCAAATATACTAGGGTGTTGTGTAAATACTGAAATACTTGGCGATTTTTTCAGAAAACAGAAATTGTTATTTCTCATTTAACCATTTATAGATGAGACGACGGAAGGAGGTCTAATACCCTCTATCACCAACATCAACACCTTGACCTCCGACTTTCTCCATTTGACCCCATCTCCATCCCCATTTTCGAATCCTAGACACGTCTCTTAATGAATATTCATACAGAGTTAGTGTTTGATTATTGTGTTCTTTTCATCAAATTAAGATAAATTATCTTGTCAGCTAAATTTAACGTATTTTTACACGCCCTAGTTGGAGTCTATACAGTAGACACTTACCCGGAAGTAGACAGACAGGGTTGAAAGGAGTGTTTGTTGTTTTCTGTCGTCCCTGAAATAACAATGCTGATGACATTTCTTCAAAGTAAACACATATCAAATCAGGTCACTAGGCAGAAATAAAATTCGTAAGTTTAACATTTAAGACATTATGCGTATATATGGAATTCTTTTTCTTTGTTTTTCGTTCGAAATAATAAACATCATTGTACAAATACCGTGACAAAACAATGAATGTACGCTATAAGTTTGATAAACATCCCGTTTTAAAACGAGTTTGACAGGAGTACATATTAAGACAGCCCAAAAAATTTGAGCACCAGTTAATTATTGAGGACATCCATTGAGCTGATTATACTAACGCAAATTGAGTTCTACTGGGGAAGTGTAATAGACACAAAGAAAACAATATATGTAATCGTGCAATAACGAAAAAAATCATTTGCATTTTGCCAGTGACCTTTAAGAAATCTGCTTCTCCTTGTTCAGGAGTCGTGACGACAAAAATATACTATATCAGACAACTTTTAGGGGTCATACAGTTGTCGTCATATTGATGACGCGTCGAGGTCAATCGAGGTCATTAATGCAATTGTCATCCGGGCTAGATATGCAAATAAGAAATTTTACAAACAAAAATTTCTTTATTTTTATTTAATATTCGGCAAATGTTATTCGAGCCAAATTGTAAATCAAGTGATCAAATTATAAAACTGGCGAATTATATGATGCTCGATTCTTCTAAATAAATATAGTATCACATAACGACACAAATTATTTTAACTGTGATGTAAAAACAGTTTGTAATTGATGCAGTGCTAAAATGTATAACGATTTATATTTTGTATAAAAATCACGTGTTTTTTTATGGAAATGAATTTGAAGCATCAGATGTTCTTGCTTTTAATGTCACCTCTGTGATTAAAATAACTTACCTTGAAAATGATGTCACATATAGAATCACTGATAAGCGATTTAACTGCTGCATTTTCTCTTCCTATCTGTGGAGATAGAAAAAAATGAATGAATGGTCTTGTGTATGGCAGAGTTATTCCCCTTCGCCCACTTAGTATTTATTTTCATAGCGAGTTAGAAATGTTGATTTCAAGTTTAAGACGCACTATGCAGTATGTCATGATGGAAAATCCCCGCTTTGTGGCAGTTTGTAAACTGATGATGCCTTTGTGTGGCAACATTACGTGGTTGATACTCGTACGTGACGTCATCAGGTGATTATTCATTAATCATGCCTTTATTTCTTACACTTTGCGCTATCACGTGATTATATATCACTGTTGATGCTATGACATGATTATATATGAATGTTGATGATATCACATGATTTCATATGACTGTGTACGCTATCACGTGATTTTATCTGACTGCTTACGCTATCACGTGATATATCTGACTGACAATGATATCACGTGATTATATATGGCTGTTGTTGATATCACGTGATTTTATCTGACTGCTTACGCTATCACGTGATTTCATCTGACTGCTTACGCTATCACGTGATTATATCTGACTAGTGTTTCTACCCCGTTGATTATGTCTGACGACTGATAATACGTGGTTGATACTATCACGTGGACGCTAAACATATGTAAATAGTCTTTTAATCAACAGATAGTTATGTATATATATATATATATATTTGGATGAATCATGCGTCCCTGACCAGGACATACAGTCATTCCGATGAAATTCTAAGCAATATCTAATTTTCCGAACTTACCTGGACAAACAGACATATAGCAGCTGTTCCATTCGGCTTACCGCACGCATCTTCCATACTGGAATACAAACTGGCATTCCAATGCACAAACTGAACCTGAAATGGCAGACCATAGGTAACCATAACAACTAGGACAACTAAGTAGATTTATCCTTAATAACGTATATGACATATGTAAATGAATGTTTACATATTTTTATTTTTCTAATCAAAATAAATCGTTATTGAAAAATATTTTTTTTACATTGCATGGGGAATACCCTTTGGTTTTGGTGCATAAAAGACCAATACAAATGTACTACAGAAAAAAAAACAAGATGGATGAAATGTAAGACCGTGAAGAGTACATTCAATATAAACTCGGGACTGCGAAGAATACCTCCATAGGGAACGCCTTCCCGTTAACGCGATGCTCGGACCCCTTGTTATTGGTGGAGCCCCAGTGGAACCGAATCTCCGCAAGTTCGAACTCATGTCCAGGTGGTAAAGGACCGCCTGAAATAACTGCAAGAAAACGTCGACATTATTTTTAAAAAATGTTTTAAAGTAATCAATACACACACAATATATATATATATAGCAATATGGTTAACAATTATTCATGTATACAATTTACTCCAAGTAAGAATGGTTATCAAGCAACGAATTGTTACCTGAAGAAATTTTACATTGTAAATTTTTCTTTCTGAGAACAATATAACAAATAGATATCATTCAAATGTTCAACGAAATTTGGGATAGCGTGTCACACAATTACACAAACAACGGTTTGATAAATCAGAACGTAAATTACCATTGTGTAAAATGCAATTTCTGATATCACAAAACTTATATTGTATATCAGTAAATGTATCATATAAAAACGAAAAAAATGTCTCATCACAAACGATCACAAAATGCCACATCACAAACGATCACAAAATGCCACATCACAAACGATCACAAAATGCCACATCACAAACGATCACAAAATGCCACATCACAAACGATCACAAAATGTCTCATCACAAACGATCACATAATGCCACATCACAAACGATCACAAAATGCCACATCACAAACGATCACAAAATGCCACATCACAAACAATCACAAAATGCCTCATCACAAACGATCACAAAATGTCTCATCACAAACGATCACAAAATGTCTCATCACAATGTCTCATCACAAACGATCACAAAATGCCACATCACAAACGATCACAAAATGCCACATCACAAACGATCACAAAATGTCTCATCACAAACGATCACAAAATGTCTCATCACAATGTCTCATCACAAACGATCACAAAATGCCTCATCACAAACGATCACAAAATGTCTCATCACAAACGATCACAAAATGCCTCATCACAAACGATCACAAAATGTCTCATCACAAACGATCACAAAATGTCTCATCACAATGTCTCATCACAAACGATCACAAAATGTCTCATCACAAACGATCACAAAATGTCTCATCACAATGTCTCATCACAAACGATCACAAAATGTCTCATCACAATGTCTCATCACAAACGATCACAAAATGTCTCATCACAATGTCTCATCACAAACGATCACAAAATGTCTCATCACAAACGATCACAAAATGTCTCAGCACAAACGATCACAAAATGTCTCATCACAAACGATCACAAAATGTCTCAGCACAAACGATCACAAAATGTCTCATCACAAACGATCACAAAATATTTTAAAATGATTGTGCTTATTCTAATACCATGCGACAAGGTTCATTATTGTACAACACATCCTCAGAAAATATCTATGAATCTATGATTACACCACAAAACGCGATACTGTGTTCAACAACATATCACAAAACACCATGAAATTAGATATTTCGCTCGCCCACTCTACCCTATACTCACTAGACCGCTGAGCTATATCAAACCGGACGGACGTCTCAGCTGGAAACCAAAGTGTAAATAATTGTATTTTGACTCTACAAATATCATCTGATCTTTTAAAGCAGTATCTGTTACTTCCCGGGATCCTAGAATTTACCGTCATATTCTAATTACTGGTAATCTTTGTTATTGATATCTCAGACGGGCAATTTTAACACAGTATGATAAAAAACAGTTGTCACAAATAAATTTTTTGTCAAAAGGACCAAGGCGTTCTAATGTGTAGGCCTACTCTCTATTAATTTGTTATCTAATTGTTTATTTAAAAAACAATCCTTGCGGTAGATCACAGCGGTTTTACCTGTCTGATTTCTTGACACTAAAATAATTAATAGTGTGCAGTTTGTATGTGTTTGACTGCGCATCCTCACTATTTCTATGTGTTATCATTTCTTGACACACAGAATTTTGATTTTATTAAATCAATTTTTACAAATTCCATTTGTTGTGGTCACATTAGAAAATCCCGGAAAATCATCTTTTTCGCCGTCTTATTCTTTCTAGTAGCGAAAGAAACGAGGGAGGGGGCACACATTTTGACAACTTCGTACGCCAATGTTAAATTATTACGGTAAAGACATATTTGCCAACCACACAAAAACCTATATCTACTACAAGATACTGTAAACGACTCAGGCCAGTTTCTACACCTTTTGCCCCGGGACTGTGGATAATGATTATCGGGGAGATGTTTTGCGTTTGTTCTACTTACCTCCCTTGTTCATTGCTTGAACTACTTACCTCCCTTGCTTTTCGGGTATACGATCAGGTTCTGGCCGTTGTTGAGGATGTCTGTCTCACGTGAAGTACAGTAGTTGATGGTCAGTGGTGTTTTGGCCATGGTTGGGTCATACTGGGCTCCAGCGGACATGAAGTCGATAGGGGACTGATGTGTGCCATTCGCTGCTGGGAAATCCTTCCCCCATTCCATAGCCCCTATTTTAGGACAAGTAATGATACAGGCGTGAAACGGGAGTCACAAGTGACAAACAATACTGACTTGTATTGTATATGGCGGCTGTTCATGGTCACTTTCTCATGAAATGAAGCTTTAATTTACAATATTTACATCGTATTCTGATGCTTGTCTGGTCTGAATACGAAAATGACACTCACGCACGCCAACAAATAATTACTCGACCACAGCAGGCCCTTTCAACCCATTCAGTGGGCTCTACGTCACCGACGACACCCGAACCTTATTCATCCCAAGATCTTCATCATTTTTAAGTATACATATATTTGACTCATAACTTGCACAGTATTACGAATGGTCAAGCGTTGTCTTAAAGAAGTAAAAAAAAAAAATTATTTTACAACGAAATGTCAACAACTCACACTGAATTTTGAAGTTCTAGTATTCGTGCTTAAAAATCTGTTCCGATGTCATGCTTGATGAACAAGGGGAATAGAGTAGGTATTTATTTACAGTTGACGAAAATAGACAAAGGGAGAGGAAAGAAACTACGTCTCGTCATGCAACACAATACCATTTCCCGTTTATGTAGTGTCATCCAATTCCAGGGGAAGCGACTCTTCCTTGTTATCAACCAGTACTCGAATCCTACACAACAGGCAGTAATAGGTCTTTTAAGATATCACTGCTTCATGTAAAATACGGGGAAAGTCACATTCCCTCTCAACACCAGTGTCAACAATCACAAGTTCAGAAAGCAAACTTTAGACCGTCTGGTGGATATAGACAGACACAACATGTGAAGACGAATCAAGCCAGATTAGTCATCAGCACCAAGTTTAATAGGAAGTAATGAAAAACATCTTGTCACTGCTGGGGTTCGAACTAGGGACCCTTCGGTCTAAAGCCGGATAATCAGCCTCTCGACTGAAGGGAAATTCTCAATAGCCATGCTAGTAAGGCGACCTGTGCTCACAACTTCTACACTACTCCCTCCTTCACAAAGTCTTTGACCCCAAAGACAACAATAACCCAGATTCAACATCTCCAAGGAAGCATCTCAATCTCCTATAGCTTCTAACCTTGGAGTGGTTAAAGGCACCAAATCTGTAATAGGAACGAGTAATGAAAAACCGCTGGGGTTCGAACTGGCGACCCTTCGGTCTCTAGCCGGACACTCTACTACTCTACAAATAAATCCTCACTAGCTGAGGCTAATAAGGCGACCTGTGCTGTCAAGTACCAAAGTACCAAGTACCAAATACCCCTGCATGATGTAACAACTGTAGCGGATGTTTCCTTGGCATAATTTGAGAAAGACGCCTAAATCTGGAATTTGAATTTTCACTCGTAATGATATTGTCTCCTCAGACACTGTCTCTTTCTTAAGAAATATATTTCGTGTTTTGGCCCCTGGTCGACTCATTGCTCTCTGTTTAACGTTAACCATTGTGGTGGTGTAACGACTGGTCTGATAATGTTACCAGACGGGGTGACCTGATTCGTACCTAAACCTATATACTTACTGTCGTAACTGAATCCGGAATTGCCATCTCTGAGACGGACGGTCCTAACCATACAGATCATCCGTGCCGTGAAAGGGAAGGTCAGCCGCGATCGGGAATGGCTGTGGGGAAGCCGGGTCAAGTGTTTAAGGTTTGGTTGTTGTGCTGCCCGTGGTACAGACTTCCGAAACGTCAGAGTTTTGCGTCCGACTTTAGACCCTGGGGAAGGAGAACGCATGCTGGACATTTCGGAAACTGCATGAGAAATGTTGGTATAACTTTCCTACAAAATGTTTACGTACAAGGCACGTGAATTGTATTCACTCCCGATGTGTGTGGTGACACTACCTGGCGTTCATGTATATTGTCTGTACCATGGCCACTCGGCCATTGCGTGCACATCGATCTTGTAGTCTATTTGATACGTGCATGATTTTGTATTATACATGGTGAAATTAGTGATCTCATAGGACACCAGGATAGTAACAGATAAATTCCGCATTCAAAGATTGCAGTAATTTTCGATTTATTTCCATCGGTGAAAAAATCAATGTGTATGACAGATTTCTGTCCTGTATTGTAACAGCTATACACATATGAACATTTACGGAAAATTCAATTAACTTCAAGTTTACGTTATGATTTTCTCTCAACGTACAATATTCGTTTCGTTTCCACCAACACTGCACAGCGACGTTAACCAAGTTTCGGGAAAAAAAATGTTTCAATAAAATCTCATTGTTATGAATGGTTTGTCGAGTGGTAGAAAAATGAAAATTCTTTTTTTTAATAATTTTTCGGTGAATATATATTTAAGGATTTGTACGATAGCACAACAATAGTTCTGATTAAGTAAACAAACGGAATCATCAACACAACGAACAAAGTCATGCTTGTATTAGTCATACGTCGATCGATTTTAATGGTTTTTAATAGTTTTAATAATTTATGGTTACGATTGAAATCAGAGAAAATTTCAAAGTATAATGCACGCTTTGATGGTACAATTAAAATATATAAAAGTTGAATTCACAATGTCATGTGAAATGTATTTTTAGAAATGTTCCGACATCACATCGATTTAAGCATTAGCGAGCAATCTCATTTCATGAAATTCAGAAATGAAAGTATGCTTGTTTCATTCGATGTTGCTGGGTTTTTTTGTTTTGTTTTTGTTGTTTTTTTTTTTTTTTTTTGTATTTTTAAAGTTATTTCAATATATGTACAGTAATGTTGCTGATCCAAAGGTTCCATATTTAGATAACCAGTCGTAATTATATAAATGTACAAGTCTCCATGAGTTGAAATATTCAATTACAGTCTCGTGTGTAAGGTGTTTACCAACAATTACTGTTCATAGGTATAAATAAGCGCATAAAAATGATTACTAACAGGGGTTTGGTATACAGTGTAAGGTAGATTAAATAATCATGAGACATGCACAAAGATAGCAAAATATCAGAGACAATATCTGAACCATCCTGACTCGGTATTCCATTATTATAGCTGCTACCTGAGAGCGCGTCACACGCATCACACCTTGTTCTCTGGTCCCTAATGATGCTGATGTTTCGTGTAGTTGTGGTTGTGGTCAGTGTCAAATTTTACACATGTAACGAGAGAGTAAACGATACAGGTAAACTATAGTAAAACTATACAGGTAAACGAGAGAGTAAACGATACATGTAAACTATAGTAAAACTATACAGGTAAACGAGAGTAAAACGATACAGGTAAACTATAGTAAAACTGTACAGGAAAACGTGAGTAAAACGATACAGGTTAACTATAGTAAAAGTATACAGGTAAACGTGAGTAAAACGATACAGGTAAACTATAGTAAAACTGTACAGGAAAACGTGAGTAAAACGATACAGGTTAACTATAGTAAAGGTATACAGGTAAACGTGAGTAAAACGATACAGGTAAACTATAGTAAAACTATACAGGTAAACGAGAGTAAAACGACATAGGTAAACTATAGTAAAACTATACAGGTAAACGAGAGTAAGACGACATAGGTAAACTATAGTAAAACTATACAGGTAAACGAGAGTAAGACGACATAGGTAAACTATAGTAAAACTATACAGGTAAAACGATACAGGTAAACTACGAAAAATACAGGTAAACTATAGTAAAACTATACAGGTAAACTATAGTAAAACTATACAGGTAAACGAGAGTAAGACGACATAGGTAAACTATAGTAAAACTATACAGGTAAACGAGAGTAAAACGACATAGGTAAACTATAGTAAAACTATACAGGTAAACGAGAGTAAGACGACATAGGTAAACTATAGTAAAACTATACAGGTAAACGAGAGTAAGACGACATAGGTAAACTATAGTAAAACTATACAGGTAAACGAGAGTAAGACGACATAGGTAAACTATAGTAAAACTATACAGGTAAACGAGAGTAAGACGACATAGGTAAACTATAGTAAAACTTTACAGGTAAACGAGAGTAAAACGACATAGGTAAACTATAGTAAAACTATACAGGTAAACGAGAGTAAGACGACATAGGTAAACTATAGTAAAACTATACAGGTAAACGAGAGTAAGACGACATAGGTAAACTATAGTAAAACTATACAGGTAAACGAGAGTAAAACGATACAGGTAAACTATAGTAAAACTATACAGGTAAACTATAGTAAAACTATACAGGTAAACGAGAGTAAAACGACATAGGTAAACTATAGTAAAATTATATCTGTCATCAACAGGTAAACGTAGGTAAACGATAAGTAAAAATATCAATCAGTGACAGGTAAACAATATCAGTAAACGACAAGTGAAACAATGTCAGTCATTGAGAGGTAAACGTAAGAAAACGACATCTAAGAAACATATTTTACTATCAGTGTTAGCAACAGACAAGACTATAATGCTAGCGATTAGTAACTGTATTTAACAGGCAGTCATTTAAACCTGGAAACATGCAAACCATTTATGTACTTACGCACTGCAAAGCAGGGACACAAGTCATTTACCTGGGTAGCTATGCGGATGGTACACAATGTCTTATCTAAAACCTTAATATTATCTGAACAAGGAAGTTCTCCTTATGCTGCTGGGTTCGGGAGGTGAAACGGCGATACCGGATGTATGATGACTACGAGCCCCGGGTGTTTATCTTTCCATCACCATAGAAACCTGACCGGATGTCTTGAGCCGGTATATGCACACCACTACCAACCCTAGTCAGTGGTCTGAGTCAGTCGCGTGTATCTTTATTTAGATCTACCTGTATTTAGGGTTATCTTGTATCTATATATTGGCGATAATTACCCTTCACAACGCCAATTTAGATTTATGACGCTAAATAAAATCTCCACATGGAGTACTTGAGGATATGTAAATGAGCGATAGTGACTTTCTTTAATCTGCTGAATGGTGAACTGTACATAAACCTCGTGGCATACATTGTCAACTACACTGTTCCTTATAATGATTTTGCTGTGCAGCAATTTATGACTTAAGACTAGAATCGATACCATGTCACCATCACCTACATCTGACCCTGGTCACTACATAAACCCACACACCAGATTCTACACGGAAAGTTGCTTTGATATTCATCTTTTTTTTTTAATTGAACACTTATGAAACACTTTCTCCTACTCTTATTGGCACATATTGATGCGTATGATAAGTATTCTATGGAAAAAATTGGAATACTTAAAGGAAATTCCTGTTTTTGCATCCAATCGGGACACGGAACTTATGTTGAAGATGTTATTACTGCGACAATTTTTTATTTATCTGTGACGTCACCAATATGACTGATTCTTAGAGATATATGTCGAAACAATTCTTTTTCTCAAACTTGTTGGGATTCATTCCTAGAACCAATCAACCAAACATCATGACTGATTCTACGCCTTTTGGTTAATCAATTGAAGTCGTAATGCGTGTTTACGAGTTCGAACCCTGTGATTTTGGATATGGCAAAATATTTTTAAAGGAACCTGTAAGTTAAAGAGCATGATTCTACATCGTTCGTGTTCATCAGAAGAGTGTAAATGAACAGAAGTAATTTTTTTCGCAAAATATGTCTGAGTTCAATGTTGGAACCTAACAAACATGACGGACGGAAGGACGGACGACGGACGGACTGACGGACACAAAGACACGATATAAGCTCATAAGTTTAGCTAAACATCTGCTGAGAAAACTGAGTTAATGGCCGTCCCTTGTTGTTAAAGCTGTGAAGCAAACGAGATCTGAGATTGTCACCATACAAACGATAGATTTAAATGTACTAATGAAAAATCCATTGAAAAATATTGTCATATATAATGTGATAGGAATGAGTGTGTGATTTGCGATACAGTTCGATAGAAGTATACACGTATGTCCAGACTCCCTTATTGAAAAACCAAATGAAGTATTTGGCCGCATAATTTACGTTTAACCAGGCCAAACTTAAAAGAGAAAATGAATTTTCGTTTCTCATAATTTGGAATACATATTGTTACAGTAAAAAAAATCTATATTTTCGGGAAATATATATAAATATATATTTTTTTCCGTTCATTGGTTACAGGAAATTATCATAATTATTATTTGAACAAACTTTAAAGTGTAATATCTAACTCATGGATAGCACAGAATATGGCAATTTTCTAAATATTATAAGACCTGCCCAAGACATCACAAATCGTCGCGTGTTTTGACTGTACCATACTGCTTTACAGTCATACGCGGGAACATATTCATGTGTGCTGCATTGTTAGTCCAGAATATAAAATTTACCAGAATCGGTATGAATACTTTCTAAGCATAAATATATCATATTATAATACATGTATCTTTCAATTTCTAGAGATTTTTCTTTCACACATTTAATTTTTTTTACCTGTAAAACCGGTCTTTATATTTGTTAGATTTTTCATACAATGTCTGACGAAATATTAAGGTAGCACACTAGAAAATTGGTTCGTTTTCCAAAATTACAGGCCAAAATAACATTTTTCCTAAAGTTTGATTTCTGTAGAGTTTTGTTCTTGTAGGATATCGACATCAAATTGATAAATAAGAAATATTTTCTGTTGCAATTATGTCCTGGTTGGAGCTACCTATGTGCAATCCAACTGATCTAATTGGCAACCCTGCTCTTTACCCCTTGTATCGATGACCTTGACAGTAGTACGATAACGTTTTGTGTAGATCTGAGTTTTCTGGTAATTATGAGATTCTATTTATGGAATTAAGTATATCAACTAATTATGCGTTGCTTAGTGACAAATGAACCTATATGTAACTACCAGCTGTTCCGTCTGATTGTACAAAAGACACACAAGTGAATAGCACTTTTCCATAATCTAGAGTTAGATACAGTAGAGCCAAACAATGAATTATACTACATTATATAGCTGTTTCGTCCTTCTAGAACTCGTCAGTGATGCTACATCATACAACTGTTTCGTCCTTCTAGAACTCGTCAGTGATGCTACATCATACAACTGTTTCGTCCTTCTAGGACTCGTCAGTGATGCTACATCATACAACTGTTTCGTCCTTCAAGGACTCGTCAGTGATGCTAAGGGCCTAAATTTTGAAGCCTAGGAGAAGACTAAGGAAAATCCAAAAAGATCACAAGAATAGTCGAAATCCAGACGGGGAGTTGCAGCAGCCCCATTATTAGATAAATTTCGTAATTTTTATACATTACACAAAAGTGACGTTTCATTGTATTTCAGGGTCAGCTGACAGTGAATTCAAATGTAGGGATATTGAAAAAAAATGATTAAAGTAAAAGAAAAGGAGCATTTTCACTTCGTTTGCACGAAGTCCCATGCAAGCAACAAAACAGACAATCATTTCCTAAGCCGAGATTCGATTATGTACTCAGTGACATTTATAGTAACTCTGATCCCTGTTTTCATGACAACAGCGAACGCACGTGATTAAGTTACAATAACAACTGACGTGGCTATATCAAATAATTAGAATTGTAGATTTGCGATCTGGAGGACAGATCTTACGGAACTGAAAATGGCATACATAATAAGTATACATATCAAATATGTGTTATGTGTGCGACTTTCAATAGGAATCGTTGTCATGATTGTTTGTTTAAATTAAATTCACAAGTTAAAAAAAACAAAACTATTATCACCACGGTAACTAGCTAACGTATCTACCGTTGTTGTGTTTTTCCATTCGCCCAGTTTATAACAAAAATGTCAAATGAACCCTTGTAAGTATGTATCGTCATTTTAAAGCAGATTCTTTTATAGCTCGCGTACGCAACTGACAATGAAATTATCCTGACTGCTTTAACAAGAATATGTCCCTTACCGTCCATTCATTGAATGAAAATATACACGTCAGGGAATTGCTGTAGAAAGGCATAACTTGGACCCCCCCCCCCCCCCCCCCCCAAAAAAAAAAAAAAATAGTAAAAAAAGAAATTTGTTGTTTTGGTAATTTAGTTCCTCTGTAAAAAGTAAGTAAAGAAATGATACTAATACGGACGGTTGACAGCGCATGGACGAATGGACATTACTGCTAAGCATACTCTTTTCTGATTTTCGATCGGGAGGATAACGGAGGGATTGGTTATAACGTCAATGCGATCGTTTTGACAGGATAGCTTAGGAGTACGAACTCTCTTATTCAACAATATTGAGATTACCTTAGCTTTTGTTGGTGTATCTGCCTCGTTCCGGTCCTGAATTTATGGAAACATCTGGTTGGAAGGGCCTAGTGTTGTGACATCGAGGTTTTGGACAACGGTGTTGTCGACTGCTACCAACGTTTCGAAAACAGGCGTAGTCAACTGGTACTGATATTTGGCATCGATGTAAAAGGGTAGACCCGATTTCAAGTGAAAGCCTGGTAATATTTTCCACTGGCAGAGATTTTGATGAAAATTATCGTTGTCACATGACTCTGACTTTGTGAGGAGGGCGTGGTTGTCGTTTGTTCATAGATATTGTGTCAGTAGCGTTATGTTCACTGTGTTGCTGTGTATACGTGTGACACTGAAAAAAGAGAACGTTGTATTGGAAAAGCATCGATGTCAACAGCCAGTGAAGAGAACCAGTGTGTGTATGATATCTGGTTACTAGGCATCAAAGGGAAGCCAGCATCAGCAGCACAATAACGCTGCTGATAATGACCGTCACATACACTGTATCATACCACATTTCCGAGGAGAGGGCGTCACGTGGGTAGGACTAAGATGCTAGGATTAGCGTCAGAAAATTATACAGACCGTGCTTAATCAGCATTATACTGTAATTCTCTTCCTATTTACAGGTATACAGCTCCCTTTGCTTATATTTACTGGTTTAATGGATTAAAGGCTCTTTTTGCTCATGTAAAACGCTTTAATGGATTAAAGACTCACTTTGCTCATACTAAATGGAGTAAAGGATTAAGGGCTCCATTTGCTCATACTAAATGGTTATCAGTCATCAGGTACACAGCCTTAAATAGTCAGGTCATAGGAGACCTGAGAAGGGATATCCCTGCTTAACTTCTTAAATACAAGGCTCACAACTTATCAATCAGCCCTCATATATTCATTAAAACCATTCAAGTAGACATACTGGTGCGATTTCCATATAAAAGCGGGATTCAAATAACATAACTTCCCCATATGGTCACCATGATGATCTCATTGAGAAATATTCTATTTCTGTTCGTGACATGAAGCTTGATGACTATTTGATGTTCGTTAGTTTGCCTGTTGGCTCTGTTGATGTATACCTTGTTCTCATTCAGAGCGCGGCATTACATACTTGAATTGACCAAAGTTTACATGGCGGGTGTCGTCGATGTATACATTGTTCTCATTTGAGAACGTGACATTACATACTTGGATTGACCAAAGTTTACATGGCGGGTGTCGTCGATGTATACATTGTTCTCATTTGAGAACGTGACATTACATACTTGGATTGACCAAAGTTTACATGGCGGGTGTCGTCGATGTAATATACGCTACATAGAATCTTATTAGAACGTGACATTACATATTCCTTTACATGGCGAGTGTCGTCGATGTATACCCTTTTGAGAACGTGACATCACTGACGACCAAAGTTTACATGGCGGATGTATGATGTATACCTTGTTCTCATTTGAGATATCATCAAAATTTGTATTTAAAGGTACAATGCAATGCATTTTTGTCTCTTGTGTGCAATAAAAATACAATTCGTCGGGCGTATAAAAGTAAAAGTTGATTTCTAGTGGTTTAAAGATATTACCCTGTCTATCAGATCAGGACATAAAGAATTGCTCTCCAAAAATTAAATTATACGGTTTTTTAAGTATAGGTTTTCAGCAATGAGAACTTTGTTTCGAATATCAACATCTTACATCCTTATCATTTTTATTATAAGTGGTTGTATATCAATTTATTAATCAATCAATCAATCAATCAATCAATCAATCGATCGATCGATCAATCGATCAATCAGTCGATCAATCAATCAATCAGATGATTATGATTTCAGGAGGCTCTTCCAGAATGTAAAAAACCGTATAATTTATTTTTGGAGAGTGTCGCCTATTGTTGTAGTTTAAATTGGAGTTGCCTCCCTTCCAATGATATTTTTGGTTTTATGCAGACCCAACATCTTTTGTCGTGCACCTGAAGTCACCTATTGGGTTTTCTTTTGTCATGTTGAACACAAAAAATATATTAATATAAGAATACTTATAATACTTTTATGTTAAAGACCGAAGCGATTATATAACAATTGTTTTGACAACATTTTGACTCAATTCGATGGTCTGACTACGCGAGGTATTGTACAAGGTTTACTTGCCGAACTATATACTATAGAATCCCATTAAAAATTCTGCTCAACGAATTCTGAATGACTTATCGACTACTTTTTCCTTAAGAACACAAAAAATATATTTATAAGATTACCTTATAATACTTTTACGTTAAAGCAAATAGCGATTATATAACAATTGTTTTGACAACATTTTGACTCAATTCGATGGTCTGACTACGCGAGGTATTGTACAAGGTTTACTTGCCGAAATATATATTCAATTATCAATATTGTTTCCTATCTCACAGATTTGATTTTTTTTTGTTTCACCATGACTACTGTATCATTTGTCACAGGACTACAGTATTAGGACAGAGTGACATTTTAAATACAGTAAGATATGAATACTTATCATCAGTTAGCTTGTGATAATAATAATAATAATGAAATAATAATATTAATAATTTAACAGTGACCAGAAGATAACAGATCTACTCTTATTAAGCCGATTAAATGTACAGTGTATTGTTGTTTCCTACGCAGTTGCCATGACTACATATGCACGCGTATGGTAATGCCCTAATGTATCCACCTTGCATTTGAAGAAATCAGCCGTCATGTCTGCCAGGAGAAGGAGGTCTAACAGTCCATATGCGGTGACAGTAAGAAGAGGAGCAACACCTAGAGGACAAGCCTGGGGACAGGCAATGGACGAGGTCGAGAAGGAGCCCATGAGGACCAAGTGGAGTCAACTTTGACCTGGCAGAAGTTTCTACTGCCAGTTTACCTCAATCTACAGGTATTAATGTGATCCCCGATGTTAAGAGGTGAGCGTACTTGTCTCACGAGACTAGGGCCAAGTTATAGGAGTCTGCATATACTGATTTAGGCATCTTTCTGGAAACAAACAAGGAGTTGTTCAACACCTAGACCTTGACCCTTGTTAATTGTTTTTTTTTTAGTTAAAGATGAAATGAGTCAAGAACTAAATTGAGTTGATAGGAGCTGGAATCGATGCTTTCATCGTCTACACTGCCATGTTCATACAAAGACATGGTAGAGGTCAGGGAATGGAATAAAGAAATCATGACGTGCAATTCCGTCTTCGTATAGGACGTCAGCCAGATCGGGCCTTGGTAGTGGTTGATGGGGAGTTAGGACATGCCTGACAACTGGTATGTCAAAGGCTAGAGATTCATTGCAGCAAAACAAAAACATCTGCGTTTATTTGTTGTTGCTATCAATGAAATAGCCCTTGTTAGTTATTTATACTTCTTTCCCAACAAAGCGATGTCGCAAGCTTTTAAGGAAAATGTTAACGGTGGTTTCAAGCCCCATTACTCAGGTACTAGATCCTCTACAGAATAAAACAAATATGCTCTGTGTCATGATGCTATTGTTTCAAACAAGAGGTAGTAGTAGATAAGAGCGATATGTTTCTTTAAATGAATCAAATCTTAGTGTTTCACTGGCAAGTTTAGTTTTGAAGAAAACTCTAGAGGTTAGATATTAGTGCAAAACTCATAAATCATACCTAGAATCTAACAGTGTAAATGGTTTCAAAGATGAAACTCTAACTTAGTGCCGAGCCTCACAGCATTCGATCGATCACTATGACAAACGTAGAGAAGATGGGAAAGTCAGAAAAATATATGTAACATTTGCCTTTCCTTTGCTTCCCTTAGACAAGACCATGCGGTATTTACAAAGGCCCGAATCCCGCCTCATGTGCTCGAGATTAGTTCCAAAGTTTTTCGCCGAATCTTCTGTCGGATACCTCGTCAACGCCCGACTGTACGTTGATGATCTAATGTTAATTCCATGCTTTGATATTTGATTCCTTGTTCACCACTACCTCACCCTTTATCCACTGTTGTGTTCGTTCTATATGCAGCATAACTCTAAATTTGTATCAAAGGATACTTCATTGTTTTTTGTGCAATTTCCTATATTGCAGTTGGTTAACACTGCTGGTGGACTTTTGGTTTCCAAGGTTTGACGTAACCTGCTAGGCATGGTTCAGAACTTGAATTATCAGATATATGAAAGGTATGAATATGATTGAAATATGGAGCTGGTGCACCACCCCATCTAAATTCTGACTTTTATTTAAATCACTTTGGGTGTTGATCAGTCGCCTTCTAGGCTGCAACATCGAGGCCCCTAACATCACCGCAGTTTGTTTTACTGCATGACTCTACCCTAATCATAATTTTGTACCGAAGGAATTAACATCTTTGTATATAAGTACAGATGGATATTAAGCCAGAAATCCGAACCGAAACAGTATTTCCCATGGTTTATTAGTATACCAGCGGTAAATAAGGATATACATAAGTTGAGTTGAACTTATAACCGCAAAATTACAACTTGCTCGGGGTGACAGTTTAAAGATGTATAATGCGGACGTCAACAAATTAAGAATCACGTGTCCACTGAAAACCAGACATGGGGCTTATCTGGTGCAGTGTGATTTTCCTTTGGACCATTGTAGGAGCTGAGGTGTCCACTTCTGGGTACAAACTAGCCATTGTTTGTGAAAAAGAAAGGCACCTTTTGCAGGTGCTTGACCGATACGTCACGATAACTCTCAGCAACCAATCGCATGTAGATGAATCTGTGCTAAGGTATAGTCAATTACTTTACCTTAATTCCTACATTTGATAAATAGTGTCATAGCATCATTTAGCCAATAGGGAAAATTAATTTCAATTAACATTTAGATACTGGGGTTAATGGAGTTCATCATCTGACTAGAAACACGTGTTCCTATTGGTTCTGACATACCACGCGCTTTCATTTGAAATCTTGCCAATAGCAGTGATACAATCAGTGTGAAGTTTTGGTTTAACGCTGACGAAAGCATTGGAATCAGTCATATCGACATTAAATTAAGATATGGACATATTCAGGCGCTTGTGCTTGTCTCTAACAATGTTACTGTATAGATCAGCATCGCATTTTGTGAACGACAGTAGGTGTTATGAATCCGTGGTGTCGAGTTAAATAAACATTTAACATTTAATTATACATGTAAATAATAAATGAAAATATACTTCTTGTAGCTTGTTAAGAATCAAAAATATATTTTTTTAAAACAGTTCAAATGAATATATCTACCTTCCGGTCTGGATTTGCCAAAAACGTTAGCCTTCCAAATCGTTCTTTGTTGGTGTGTTCAGTCAACCATAAACATTTTTCCTTCGTGTACACAACTTTTCAAAGGTAAACTACGTTAGGGAAAAGGTTTGATTTTGAGAAAACATTTTAATGATTGTGAAATCTATAGGGACATCAGAATGCTGCAAACGGAGTCAGCGTGCACGGTGTCTTACAATGTGGATTAATTTTCAAAATGAAGAGGAATATCGCAAGCATCACAATTGAAGCTGTTCAGTTACTATCAACGCACCGTCAAGACCATTTTACTCGTACTGACATGAGGTTATAGGTTGAAGACTGCAACAGGTTTACGAAACAACTCCTAAATCTTCTGGATAGCCACATAGGCATTTAGGAGCCGTCTTGATGATGCTGGCATACGAGTTCCTGTAACCATATAAGACACTGTCAGCTGGGAGCCAAGTTGATAGCGCTTGAACTCAGGAATGGGCACCGATTCCTCTTACTGACGAGTCCAGATTCTGTCACCTGAGACGCTTTAGGGTATAGAGACAACCTGTGGAGAGGGTTCAGGCAGACAAGCGATACGGCTGGATTTCAATTATTGCGTGAGTAGTCATTAGTCGTGATGGGAAAATGAACCTAGATCTTCCAGAATAGTATATTTACACCCTGAATTTAGTGTGATGAAATCCTTGATGCTTATGTCAGACCTATGGCTATCGCATCTGACCTCATCATTTTAAATAATAATACGTGGCCACATACAACCAGAGTTACTGTACAGTATCTAAAAAAATACGGCCAACCGACTCGCCGGACCAAACTTCAATAGTGCTTGTGTGGGATATACTGAAAACAGTTAGCTCTGCCAGGACGGTTCAGCCAAGGGCACTCCGTGAGGTGGGAACAACTTCGACAGCTGAATGGAATGTATTCCACAAAACAGGAGACGAAATCACATTTGGGGCATACGCTGACGTAAAATGTGTGTTGTATATCTAGACGAGATATCCACATATTACTTACCATAATGTGAATAGATGTGCAACAATATATGTACTTGCGGAAGGATACAAATTCAAAAATGCTTATACACAACCGTCTTATCTGATACAGGCTTGTTTGTGACAACCAACAGTTTGTTGACTTATGTATATCACAAATACATCATATGTAAACTATTTCATGCATTCAAATTTCTCTAGCAATTAAATAATAATTGTACTAATACTCTTTTTGTTCGTTGTTAAGCTTCCTTATACATGTTAGAGAAGAGAGATCCAACGTTAAAGACATAGCTGAATGGATTGGTCATCCCATCAATGCCTACCACCTGGTCAAGAGGACAGCAAAAGACTGGTTAACGGTCCAGCAGAAAATCAACTGCAATACGTGTGTACCTACCATTGCAGCACAGGGTGAGTTCTTCTAACGTGTGAAATGACAATCTTAAGTATTGAAATATCGTCTTATAATATTTTATTCATATGATTCGGTGAGTATACGTTTTACATACATGAAAAGTTGACATCTGACCTTTATTATATCACTTTCCATGAAACATATTAGTTTTCCTTAAGTTGTTTGTAGAAATGTAAAAGAATCATAGATTATTTAAATGAACAAATAGGCACGTGTAAAATATATAACATGCAATGTACCTAATACATAATACACAGGAACTGATACGTGTTACTCAGTAGTGAACTTGTTGTGTACATGGTCTACTGAAATAGGATAAAACGTCTTATAACACAACCTGTAGAATATCTGAGTGTGACGTTTTGATGACTACACAGTCACCTTCATCAAGGAAGTGATCAGTGTAAAGTGTACTAGTGCTGACGTACGTACTGTGCGTAAGGATTCGAGCACTTTTTCGGTTCTGCTATACTCCTTTGTAAACTAAGGTCAAAAATAGTGTAACAGGTTACTAATCAGATTATAGGGGAGGGTGGGGTTGTGGGGGGCAACAAGATGGAGGCAATGTATTGTACTATTGTAGTTGACTCAGCTACGCTTGGTTTAACAATTGACCTTTGCTATCCAAGACTCCTCACACACATTAGTTTGTGTTTATCATTTCATCACACTATGCTTTATACTCAATATTAGCTGTCATTCTCACACTGTCGTGTTTTTATTATTTCTGGTGGTATTCGTTCATCCGTCAAACATCAGTAAAAATCATCTAAGCTTCCCAGCCTTGCCGCAGTTACTTGTAAGGGATACACATGAATATATTTCTAAATTCCTAAAACTATCTTCTCTTTATTTTTCGATGATTATTTTTTCACATTTATTTGTTAAAGAAGGTCGTTTAGATGTATAATTATTTCTATTTTCGATGTTTTTTTATTATACTATATTGTATTCTACATTTATGTTATTGTTTATTGTACTCTTCTCGTATGCACGCATCTGTTCCTTTCATAACATATAGTATCAAAAATGTTCCACTTTTATTCGTAGGACGAACAGAATTGCCATGAAAATATAACATCTTAGTTTATGTTCGGATGAACATATAGATAATGATATTGGAGGTGAATGGTGTATTTTGATAAAAAGTATCAACTCAATTGTTTGTTATCAGACTTTCTATGTTTTCGTTATTATTATACATTTAATTAAATATGGCCTTGCATCAGTTTCCTGCCCATTTAATCGTACAGCTCTGTTTTAACTGATATTGATTTTGTAGAACATAAAGAACACATATTTTGAATCATCTTATGTACCTAGAGACTCGACAGACCAAAGTAACAGACATTGCATGCTGCTTAAATGCTACTTTGATGTAAAGAGCGGAACTAACTTTCAAAAGAGCTGCAAATGAAAATATTCTGTATCCACTTTGTTGGTCGGATTCCGCATATCAGTTTACGAATCATTCTTAGGTCAATTTAATCTTGGAAGCTATCTGGAGAATTATGGCTTTTGTGTTGATTTCATCTTGGGCACAGTGTTAAAATGTTGATGTATAATGCTGTACGATCATTGAAAATTGTTGTCGACCACGTAACACACATCGGTTAGTACAACTGAAGTATCTACGGTTATGCATGCCACCATTTTCTTGTTCTAACAATGAAGTAAAATGTCTTCTTTTCTCAAAATTAAGACAGTTTTTTGAAGGGCTAGATTTTGTGCAATTATAACATTTCTTAACATACGTTACTATAAATGCGTTATATTAGTTATATTACCGTATTACCGTTCATCGGATTTGGACGTTAAATTATGTCTTCTATAGATCTCACAAATGCTAAGGCAATGATGTTAGGGGAGACATGTGAAAAACATCATTTACTGTGCCTGACAGGATCAAATGACCATATCATATCAAATAAACATATCGATGAACGTACACAGTTCTTTCCTTTTCTCATGCTTATTCTAAAATTCTAGAAAATTTAGAATTCTATTTATCCTGGAATCAGATTTTCCTCAGTCGCCTCTTAGGCTTCAAAATTTAGGCCCTTTGTATCTCTAACGAGACCTGGAAGGATGAAACAGCTGTATGATGCAGTTTGATACATTGTTTTTGTCAATTGTATCTTACTCTAAATTATTAAAAGGCACTATTCACTTGGGTGTCTTTATACAATATTCCTACACTCGTAACTATGATTGCATTCCCTGGTAACGGAATAATATCCAAAATAAATTTCACAACTGCTAAGACACTTATGTAAAGAAAGTCGTGTCAAAAACATCATTCAGTGTTTTAGCAGATGTAAATAACCAGCACCAAATTCTATCGAAAAGACATTATTATTAAACATAAATAAACAAATCCCTCCTTTTCTCTTTGCCAATGGTTTACTCTTCATCTTTCAGAATTCTATTCATCCTGGAATCAGACAATAGATAGACAAGGCGTTTGGACGAGTAGCAATGATATCATGATTGCTGAGAAAGGCTTAGCAAGACTTTATGAAACCTACGCCATTGACTATAAAACTCTGATGTCAGGGACCATTTTAAACGTTAGCACAACCCCGTTAACGCCTGCAGATGCCATCAGTATAGCATTACATCTGGAGAAAGAGCCAAAAATCACGTGGATCGAAAAGTTACTGGAGACGGAGGAGATTTCCGATAAAGAGTCTCTACTTTACGATCTAGCTATGGCCTACCATATGGTAAGTAAACAATTGTATTCAAATTGCAAATAGAGTCCTGCGAAAATTGGGCTAAAATAAAACAAAATGTATATAACGACATAATTATGCAGATTGATGATAATTATAGAAAATTTTACGGTCTTAACATTAACCTTATCTTGACAAATTCTATTTCCTTGGGGATATTAATATTGATCGTACACGTTATTGTACCTGGTGTTTCTGTTGTTGTTGACACTGATTTCAATTGAAAGAGGACATTGATTGCCTTACGTGGAATAAGCAATATGTATGTACATGGCATATGCAATCAACGGTACAGAAAACGCCTACCCTTCCGGGGCCCGTTGCCTTTTTCTTCCATTTCCAGAAGTCTTATATTTATATTTCCATATTTTTTCTAAGTTTCAGTGACTATATGTTAAAATTAGGACTTTTATAAGTCATTATTTATTTTTCCTGTTTTAAAAAATAAGGTAAAAAAGTCCCAGAAAGCACTGGATATATTGACCAATCTACAGCAGACAAGTAAGTACCTTGATAACTTCATACCTTAATTTTCAATTCGAACGCGCCGTATATGTTATGCCATAATTTTTACAGAATGAAAAATGTTCCTATGAAATGAAGAAATAGTAGGAAAATACATAAGGAACCATGACTGTAAGATATAAATCAGAATGTTGTCATATGACAAGTGAAGCTGCGTTCTTCGACCTTTCCGTTATTCCAAGATATTTGATTTGTGCTAACTTAATAGATTTACATTTATTCTTCAGACCGCCGAGGTGATTACGCTATACGTAGTATTATTTGGCTGCTGCATCTTGCAGTCTAAATTATGACCTTTTTTTCGATCACTTTGGATTTCCTAAGTCGTCTCCTTTGCTTAAAAAATTGGCCCTTCGCGTCATTGACTAGTCCTAGAAGGACGAACCACCTGTATGATGCATTTTAATTCTTTGCTTGGCTTGACTGTATCTGAATCTAAATTCGTACTAAAAGGTGAAATTCACTTGTTTGTCGCTTTTGTACAATCTTTTTCTTTGCAATAACATACAAAAAGTAGCCCTTCAGTTAATTAAAACCAGTGAAAAATTGAAGTCTGTTTCGAATTGTCATGTTATACATATGTGTATCCATTTTTTAAGAACAAACATTTTCTGACAAATTTAGGAATTTTATTAGCTAGAAATTTCTTGGTAAACCTTTTGACACAGGTACCCGACCAATGAAAGGCATTATAAGGATTGTCAGACAGGCGGCCGAGAAATATGTTAATGCCGAACCGTATGAGAGTGCTTTCCAAGAAAACCTAGAGAAAGTCTACAGAAATCTTTGTCAGGAAACCTCACAGGTATGACATTATTTTTTTAGTTCTTGTAACTTTAGTGGTTTCTGTTTTCTATGCAACCTGTCACCATACGGATAATTATTGCACTGCATTCCTACAAAGTTATCATTTAGTTAAGTTGTTTTAAAATCGGTATTTTAAACCTTTTTATATAATTACGTGATATACCAAATAGCTTTGCCAAGAGGAATATACCAAAGTGCAATTTTATCTCGGGATACCATTAGTAAATACCACATATGTATATTGTAGTATTTGCCTTCCTGTCTATGAACATTTTAAACCTCCTATGTCATGGGTAATAGACTATGATATCACAATGCATGGCCGTAAATCTTATTGATGATATAATGGAATGTGTAAAAGTGACCTATCCTATATCATCTCAGCAGTGCGTTCTTTAAAGAACTGTAGATAGTAAATTACACTGGAATACATTTCTGGGATGCCTGCGGTTCTTTTTGGTGTTATATCTTGAATCAACATATTTGGGAACGCGATGCTACTTTCCTTGATTGACCAGGGATTACATTGCGATGAAACAGAAAAAGGTTTTCTTTTCCGGAACTGCTAGTCTGATTCTCCTTGTACTTTTTGCTCAAGGCATGTCTTAGATTCGTCGAATTTGGATGTGATTTAAGATTTTGTTGACATGTCGATTTTTTCTTCATTTGTTTACCCACCTTTCTGTTTTGTTGATATAAGCCACATTTTGTTACTCATGTACACATAATATGATTTTGCCAAACTGCATGTTTGCTATCTTTAAGGACTTTGAAAAATACTAAAAAACTCGAAATTCATATATATATATAGAATAGTTAATCGGCAACAAATGTTTGTTGATGAGAGGTGTTTTAAATTCATATAACTTATATAAATATGTAATATTACCCTGATGGATGATTGGACTTGAATCAATGACAATGTTAGGTTATCGCAAAAATAAAGGTATACTTCAAATATAAATGGCGAACAATGAAATAGCTTGCTGGACGAGGTGACTGGTTACGACTTAATACTTCGAAACTCAGCAGGGACACTTTATATCCATTTTTCTTTTGTTTCTCTCTTTTAATATTCTTTTTATGTAAGTTTGCTCTTTTAAAATGCTTCTCTCATGCCACTGTATCATGTGTTACAGGCTCACAGGACCGGTTAGGTTGCAATAACCTTGTATTAATATGATAATACTAATTTTCATATCAATGACCGTAGTCACAATATATGAACTGATCTTAGTACTTTTTGACTGAAGTAGACGATCTGACTACCTTGAGATATTGTATTATATTTACCTGCCGAAATATAGGCCATTGTGTTCCAAACCAAGCTGTCTGCAGTTATCTCCCTTTCACAAACGTTAGATTAACGTTTCATTTAATTAAAATTATTGATTATGAGTTGAGTTTGATCAATATCAATAATACCAGGATATACTACTTATCACTTAAAATGGATATTTTGATATTTCTTATATGATTGATGCAAGATTCGTCTTGTTCATTGATGCACAATACAGCAAGAATGCAATTATACACAATACTCAAGTCTTTGCGACTTATTTACATGACCCTCGAAATTGGCGTGAGGATATATATTTTGATGATTGATAACACATTTCAATTTGATTTTAAAAAGCAAAACAGTACTGATATTTTGCAAATACTTTGGCTACAACTCGGCTATTTTGTCTGATTCTTCAATTAACACTGGGAGTAAGACAATTTAGATACGCTTATAAATAAATACTAATTACCGGTTAGCCTGTAGTGATAATAATAGTAACAGGACTAGCACAGTTCCTATACTGCATGCAGTGCTTCCTCGCTCTTCAGTCAATCTGTACTCGTTGAACTACATGTCAATCTCTATGCCATGCGTGTGTACTTGATCAATTTTGTATTTATTTACGTATATAAACCTAGTTTTTATTGATCAGGCATAATATTTACTCACCATTGGCTACGACATCGATATTTACCCGTTTCTTTTAACTAAACATCATCATTCTTTCAGGAAATAAAGTCTGCGCCGGTCCTTCATTGTTACAACAAAGTAACAGAGATTCCCTACTACATTGCGAAAGAGGAAGTCCTAAACTACGTGCCACGTGTGTCCAGGTTCCATGACGTGGTATCAGACCACGAAATTTCACAGCTTATAAATATAAGCAAGTATCAAGTTAGTATTGCAGTTTTGGTAAATTTATTTCTTGAATTAAACTTTGAGTTTCTCCTTGTAGTTGCTTGTGACTACCTCACTGAACATAAGGCGGGAGGCCCGTCACATTGCATCCAGTGCAGTCAGGGTAGAGTGTCTTGCCGAAGAACACAACCACGTCAGAAAAGACAGGTCACGATCACTCTCACAGAAAGGACGTGTTAAACCCCGCATCTCGAATATTCATTTGAGGTTACGTAGATCAACGTTCTCAACGAATGGACTATCTTAGTGGATCTATGATATAACCGATATTGCATTCAAGTCACATATGATTCCAAATATGTGACACACCGATCAGCTGTTCAGCTGTTAACCGATCAAATGAGACTCAGTTTCTTTAAGACAAGTGGATAATGATAATTCGATATTTAGATAGATTCCATCGTGATTTTTCATGACACATATGACACAAAAGATGAAATCGTGATAAAATGCTCATGTTATATCAATCACTGACATTATCTTTAGCAGGCCAAGTTAATAAATATCCTTTGGAAAAGCCGCTTCTTTAGCAACCTTGGCTCTGCTGACATGGCAAACTTCATTGAACCTGTTTTTGGGTTCAGACTCAAAACAACCACATATAAGATAAGGAATCAGATTGCACGTGACGCCATCAGCGTTGTGATAAGATATTTACTGTAGTAAATCTGATCTTATCGAATCTGATTGCTTATCGAAGGAAATTTATCTTATATTTGCAATTAGCGAGAAAAATTGAGTGTTTTATCCAATATAGCGATAATTCAAATAATATTGTCTTGTTACTTTCATAACTTGTGTAGATGAAGCCAGCTAATGTTGTCGCACGCAATGGTAAATCTGTCCCTACTTACAAAACCAGGACTGGAGAATCGTAAGTATGCTTTCAACTTGGAAAATATTGCAAGCTCAATATACAAACTCATCAATTCATAAACTAACTCGAGAAAGAAGCATTTTACTGTCGTTATTTGCATTCACCTGATGAATATTGTACAACCTTGCCATTATAATCTTTAACTTTTAACACTAACATCAATCTAGCGAAGTGTTGCATCGACTATCTTTTATAGATATCAAAGATGAGGTTTTTACTGACAAAAATGACCTTTTTGGAGTGACTTGGCTCAGATTATTGTCGCAGGCCAAGAAGTAATCCGAACTGACATTTAAACAAGGGTGATTAATTAAATAATTGTTTAACACTTCTCCAACCATTTAATTGACAATCTTAAATGAAGCTAACACTGAATGGAAATGTTTCATTTTATTGTGAAGGAGATGTAACTAAAAAATTGACAAAACAATTAATATCGTGATCATACGACGCTAGACTGCATTACAAATACGCCACATTGAAGTATTGCAAGGACTATTGTGTACCCTTTTGAATCAGAGCAGGGATAGATCCTTCAGAAGAAATTGCAGTAAAACTAGACAGGAGAATTACACTCTTGACAGGTCTGGATTCAGTCAAGTCAGACAACTTCGAGGTAAGACCTATATAGTGTTTGATATTTCTACTTTTATTGCATCGTCAAACCACATCAATGCAAAAAGATCGCTTACACTATTTTGCGCTGTGATCTATTTTAAGATTATGGTTTGTGCAATAGGGTCAACCATGACATCGACAGATATAAATGTAAAATCTCATTAATTGAGAAAGTGAAATACCGACCGAATCTTAATTTTTTCTCTTTTTCATTTTTTCGTGTTTGATCTGTTGTTTTGTTTTTTGTTTCGTTCGATTTTGTTTTTGGTAAATTCATCAACCTAACTTTAATCAATTCAGGTGTATTTTGATATTGACATTAAGGAGAAAAACCTTCGTATCATATACTCTTGTGTGTAATTAATGCCATATATGTTATTTCTCAAGTTGGAGTATTTGCGACAGTGTCAAAACCGGTTTATTTCGAGTTAGATAGTACTTTTTTTCTTAATCTCCCTGCAAAATGAGAATCAGTTTTACACCTTAAATGAATAACTCCTCCCATCTCTCAGGCATACATTTTGTTGTAGTCTGACAATGTCATATTTATGTATGTATGTAAATGTGTGTGTTTGTGCGCGGGGGGGGGGGGGGGGGGGTTGTTGTATCAACCTACATATAGAATAGATTTGTATGTATTCCACCAGGTAGTGAACTACGGACTTGGCGGACATTATCTATGGCATTTTGATGCACTAGACGTGAGTATATATCTATACCATACAAGAAATATCCAAACATGGTTAAATAAAGTCTTCATATCTAGGCAGATGCTTTAAAACTATTAGATCAAAATGGATGTAGAGATATCTGGAAGAAACATCTCGCTCAGCAGTCACCAATGAGATCAGATAGAGCAGAATCAGAACTGATCGAAACAAATGTCAAAATAGTGATGATAAAACGTAATCATATTCACATTTGATAAAACTATGTCGAAACATGAAAAACAATTTTCAAGGAGACTTCTGAACTCGTACAAGGAGAATAAGATCAGGCAGACGTATATTACAGACACAAATGTTTATGATCTTTTGTGTCAAGTATTTTTGTTCTTGTTTTATTGAATATGAGTATAGACTTTTATTAGGTTGACAAGTCTGTGTTTTCTTGATTTCTAATGACTAACGTTTTCGTCATGATATCTGATTGCTCGATTCCTTGAATTAAGACAAACATAGTTTTCCAAATGATATATCCTTGACCTATGTTCAAGGTCGCAGGGCACAAGGTCAAATGTGTTAAATCAAGCAAACGCATCGACTTTATCTTACTGACTCAAATTATATCTTGCTGATTCGTTTGTGTTTATGGTTTACTGAGAATACATGATTAATTATAGTAGGCTCGAAACGACCTGACACAGTTTATAAAAAATGACCTTGGCTTATATTCAATGTTACCAGAGTCAACTTTGTCCAAACGCCAAAAAAATCTCCACTTTTTTCATTAAAAGCAGAAGTCACCAACAATGATATGTACATTGCTTGTTTAAAGAGATACGATTGAGACCCTCTCTGAGTGTAAATAACATGTGGTGAAATTACTTTTGTGAAAATAAATTTATTGGATTAATGGTGAGCGTCTGGCTCTTTTGACTTTCATGACTTATCACTTCTGAATATTGATATGTTCTTTCTTGTCGAGAACGCATATCTTATTGTTTCTCGTACAGCCGCTGATATTAGGTATTTATGGAATAAATGTACATATGTCCGTTTTGTGATGATATAGCTCGTATGTTCAATTTTTATTGTCATATCTTACAGTTAGAAAACAAGAAAAATATTGATCGTGATTACGGACTTGGAGACAGAATAGCTACCTGGATGTTTTATGTAAGTATTATGTTATTAGTTTAATAATTTTCAACTTTCCCATATTTTTTGGAAATATTTGCTCAAAGTCTGTTTTACATTGTTAGCTGTTCTTTGTACACATTTAGACTTTTACAGAAGACGTTTCACCAAGACATCATCTTAATCAAATTGTTCTGTCAATTTTCTTCATACAGTTATAACATACGGACATTTCTTCAAGATTATCAAACTACTTCTATCCTTTGATATTATATTGTATTTGTATTCGATTTCCTTAACAAAGAAAATAAGCTGGTTCTGATGCTCAAATACATGTTTTGTTTACAACTTTAGTTAAGCGATGTACAGGCAGGTGGCGCCACTGTCTTTCCCAGATTGAATCTGAGGATACTCCCAATAAAAGTGAGTACTCTAACCCAGACTGAACCTGATAATACTCCCAATAAAAGTGAGTACTCTTACCCAGACTGAACCTGATGATTCTCCCAATAAAAGTGAGTACTCTTACCCAGACTGAATCTGAGGATAATTCCAATAAAAGTGAGTACTCTTACCCAGACTGAATCTGATTATTCTCCCAATAAAAGTGAGTACTCTTACCCAGACTGAACCTGATGATTCTCCCAATAAAAGTGAGTACTCTTACCCAGACTGAACCTGATGATTCTCCCAATAAAAGTGAGTACTCTTACCCAGACTGAACCTGATGATTCTCACAATAAAAGTGAGTACTCTTACCCAGACTGAACCTGATGATTCTCCCAATAAAAGTGAGTACTCTTACCCAGACTGAATCTGATGATTCTCCCAATAAAAGTGAGTACTCTTACCCAGACTGAACCTGATGATTCTCCCAATAAAAGTGAGTACTCTTACCCAGACTGAACCTGATGATTCTCCCAATAAAAGTGAGTTCTTACCCAGACTGAACCTGATGATTCTCCCAATAAAAGTGAGTACTCTTACCCAGACTGAACCTGATGATTCTCCCAATAAAAGTGAGTACTCTTACCCAGACTGAACCTGATGATTCTCCCAATAAAAGTGAGTACTCTTACCCAGACTGAATCTGATGATACTCCCAATAAAAGTGAGTACTCTTATCCAGACTGAATCTCCTCTTTCCAATCTGAGGAACTCCCAATAAAAGTGAGTGCTCTTACCCACTGAATCTGAACCTCCCAATAAAAGTGATTTCCAATCTGATGATACTCCCAATAAAAGTGAGTACTCTTATCCAGACTGAATCTGAGGAAACTCCCAATAAAAGTGAGTACTCTTTCCAATCTGATGATACTCCCAATAAAAGTGAGTACTCTTATCCAGACTGAATCTGAGGAAACTCCCAATAAAAGTGAGTACTCTTTCCAATCTGATGATACTCCCAATAAAAGTGAGTACTCTTACCCAGACTGAATCTGATGATACTCCCAATAAAAGTGAGTACTCTTATCCAGACTGAATCTGAGGAAACTCCCAATAAAAGTGAGTACTCTTTCCAATCTGATGATACTCCCAATAAAAGTGAGTACTCTTATCCAGACTGAATCTGAGGAAACTCCCAATAAAAGTGAGTACTCTTTCCAATCTGAGGATACTCCCAATAAAAGTGAGTACTCTTACCCAGACTGAACCTGATGATTCTCCCAAAAAAAAGTGAGTACTCTTACCCAGACTGAACCTGATGATACTCCCAATAAAATTGAGTACTCTTTCCAATCTGAGGATACTCCCAATAAAAGTGAGTACTCTTTCCAATCTGAGGATACTCCCAATAAAAGTGAGTACTCTTACCCAGACTGAATCTGAGGATACTCCCAATAAAAGTGAGTACTCTTACGCAGACCTGAACACATACGAAAGTATAAAAACAGACAATATTACCAGTCAGGAACTTTTAAGCAAATCAAGAAATAATATTTCACACTTTAAAGTTTCTGTCCATGTTTTATTTGCTATCATTTCTGACAGTATCATACACTACAAACAACAACTTCAATATGTTCTACTTATTTTTGTTTTATCTATCATCAGGTTAAAAAAAGTCGAATTCTTTGTATTACATATTTAAGTATCATATCTATTGTAATTTCAGGGGACTGCTGTTTTCTGGTATAACCTTCTACCAAGTGGAGAGCGTGATGATCGGTCACTGCATGGGTCCTGTCCTGTCCTTCTCGGTTCCAAATGGAGTAAGTTATCAAAAATGAATAAATAAATAAAATAGAATGAAAAAAAAAAAAAAAAAAACAAATAGTAATGTTGTGAACGAACAGCTGATTCTTGACTTTAGTGAAACCCAATACAGAACTCTGTTTTGTGGAGTTTGACAGTCACGATATGATCTGGCTATTGCATTAGACCTGCAAACATTGAAATTATTTTTGTATGTTAGCTAGAACCTTAACTATCACAATAATAACAGCTTGTGTTGGAATAAAAGCAACAATTTCTTTATACTTTTTTCGATGTTCTTCAGGACAATATCATTTTAATATTTTTATATTTAGTCAATGTTCAGTAACCACGTCGGATATTCTGATTATTTTGATTTGATCGTACAACCATTGAAAGTGAAATAACTGCTGACCGTCAAATCTAAATAACAGATCAGTTTGATTTAAGTGTTCTAAGCTGTAAATCTTTAAAATTAGTAAGTTAGATCTCCTATGTTTACATACTTTCACGTTTTGTTTTTCAAGTTACTACCAAGTGGATACTTGAACACTGCCAGGAATTCCGGAAACCTTGTAGAATAAATCCTATGGATGAACATTTATGATTTTCGTAAGCTACAGCGTTGACTCGTATTTCTCAATTAGGATGAATGTGCATTTTCAATTAATTAATGTCCAAACCATCGACTGATTAAATGCCTTATTCAATTTTACAAAAAAAAAATGAATAGATAAAAAAAAACGAAAACAAAACAAAAGCAAAAACAAACAAAACATAAATTAAAAAAGTTTATAATCTGCCTTACATAGATTTTTTTACAAATCAAATCGTGCAACATTGTGCAATATGGTCAATGAAATTCAATTAATTTATCGGAGAACTGTTTATGTGTCAGAATCCCGCTGATAAAAGTATTGATTTATCCATTTTAGCTAGTTTGAAGAATGCTCCACACATTCTTCCAAAATGTAACATTTATCAAAATTCCTTCAATCCATCCGGTCGTTGTTAATGAAGATTATACAATAGAAACAGGAGAAAGTAACACCTTTCAGTACAGATTTAGAATCTAGAAATAGATGTATAGGGAAAATAAATGCATTTGAATTAAAGACGATCTTAACGAATTTTTGTTTTTGTTTTTTTTTTGTTTTTTTGTTTGTTTTTTTGTTTGTTTTGTTTTTGTTTGCAACCACAGTTGAATAAATATAGAAATGATTATTCTCTAACAATATTCTTTACTCCTAAAAGTATTTATAATATCGTGCAAAAGAAAAAACAAAAAAAAAAAATAGATTATAGAGATATTCTGGACCCTTGATTAAATAAATGTAGTGAATTTCACAAATTTGATCATTTCAAAAGAAAGTAGACTAGACTGTGTATCTTTTGAATCGAATCGCCAAACGAATGAATAAAAACGTGACATTTAGGTTACGGCAAACCTTTATTCAAATTTGCGACCAATTCGCAGCATCCGTAGGTAGGACTTACTACCTCAAGGTACGGTAGTGTCTGTTGCTGGTATGTTTTAGAATTAACTGGTTTCCTAGGTTTATCTCATGAAAGAGCGATCGTAGCCGTGTACTGATCCTTCCAGCGGCCGAGCGCGGTTGATGACGTAACAGGAAGTACTGATATATTCAAATTAACCTCCCCAAGCAAAACGATCAGTTTAACGTAACCACATTATATCATTGATTCATACATAGTGCATACCGAACGCGGAACTGATCTGCGGTGCGTGTTACATGGCATACAAGATGTAGCTTAGTTTGTCATCCATAGTCCTACCTATCTAACTTCTCAAAATATCATATCACAACACAAAAATAACATTTATTAAAACGAAACGAAATTTATTTATAAATTCTTTTATAAAAAAGAGTAACGCTAAACTGTACTATAAAAAGATTTTCTAGATGACTTGGTTCAAATTATTGAAATATTTGGTAATAGCTATATACTGAGTTTTCCAGTGGTGTTCACATCATTATTATTTTCCAAAATAAAGTATTTCTATCTTATTAAGGAAATACAACATACTTTAGCCCCACTGAAACAAAGATCATATGTATTTTGAAATGTTTAATTAATGTTTGATGACAAATAATAACCTTTAATAAAAAAACAAACAAAAAACAAAAAACAAAAACAAAAAACAAAAAAAAACAAAACAAAACAAATAAACAAACAAAAGACAAAAAAAAAAGAAATAAAAACTAAACAAACAAACAAACAAGAAAGAAAGAAAGAAAGAAAGAAACACGATCATTTCATTTTCTAAATTTATTGTTTTAATGTATATCATTAATTTCACAAACAAAAATTGTACATTGTGTTATCGAGTTATTTAGATCTGTTTCTCATTCTAACCTAATTCAGCGCTTCTGCTGTGTATATTAAAAGTACTTAAAATAGCACACTATATCGATTCTGTTTCAAATGAAAAGCTGTTTAATTGTTAGCCAGATACAATGATCGTTGACTCCTATGGTCGTCATAGTGATCTCATTGAGAAATATTCCTCTTTTATGTGTGATATGAAGCTGCACGCGCTTAATGCTCGTTAGTTTGCTTGTTGGTCCTGTTGTTGTATATCTTGTTCTCATTTGAGAAATTGACACTATTTACTTGGATTGACCAAGGTTTACATGGCGGGTGTCGTCGATGAAGCAGAAGTCGCTTACTCTTCCAGAACACCTGGTCTTATTCTCCTTGTACTTTTCAGGAGTCTCCATGTAAATCTTTTTTTTGTTCATATTTTCCCTACTTTGTGGAATTTTAGTTTGGATTAAGATTATGTTGCCATGTTGGTATTTTTTCGTGATTTTTTAAACACTTATTATTGTTATTTCAACTCTTCGCCATCATTAAGGTAAACGTTTTAAATCAAAGCTTGTGCTACACACTAGGGTTTGTCTGGACGCTACATGAATGTACCACCAGACATGTGACTTAGATAGTGAAGCGTATTGCTGATGGTAACAGCTGTAAGGGCAGAAGGGGCCACGTCCGGTTGCAAAATGGTCGTCATCAGTTAAAAGAAAGGACAACTTGTGAAAAGGCTGTATCGTTACGTCACATTCTCCCTTGACAACAAATCACACGCTGACAAAACTATACAAATGCGATCAAAACAAACTGCATTATGGGATACTAGAGGAGAGTTAATACGAAAATGGTTTGAACTGCATATATACTATCTACACGATAACTGGTCAATAAATGACGTGAACAGGCGGTATATCGAATTGTACATATTCATTATCATATATCACTCGGGATAAAGTTTCTTAACAGAAATTTCCGCAGACGTTTACACTATTTGGAGGACAAATCGCCAATTCATACAATTTATCGGCATTATATATCATTTCAACATGATGCTCATTATAATACAGGGTTATACACGTTTTCATAAGGAATATTTTTTATAAAAAGTATTTTGATTACAAAAGGCTTAATTAAAGGTTTTAATTAAAGCATGTTTAAAACCCTATCGTGAATTTATACAAAAATAAAAGACAGATTTCCCTAAATAATAAGGTATTATCAATATTATATAGAGAATTTTGCAAAGTTCTTCTCCCGTTGCACCTGATGTTTGGTCCGATATAACTTAAGTGTTAATGGGTCTTAAAAACTCAAACTTGTTATATCATCAAAATAAAAAAAATATCGCCAAAATAGATCTAATGTCGACACTTTGATCATTAGGTCCACTAATTTCGACAGAAAAACGATCAAATTGGAAACCATGTTTTAAAATCAAATATTACCATAACAAAGCATAGCTCTAAAATATGGAAATTTTTCTCATTTTCTTCTATGTAATTTTTTATACAAATGCATTTACAAAACAAATATGTGGTTAACATGATCTACTTAATGTTTAAAACCTCTCATGAATACAGGTATACCGTGTACAAAATTTCTTTTAAATAAACTTAACACATCTTTCCGTCGTTGTATTGATCAATGCATATGGAATAGAATTATTTTGATAGGGGAGGGATGCCACGTTACCGGATTTGACAAGAGGTATTGTACTTCAATGAAATTAGAATTAAGTATATGTATCAGATGATCGGCATATATTACTCTGTGAGTGGACATGCTTGGTCTCGTGACCCTCCCTAACGGCACAATACATGTGTATCAGTGCTGTTGTTACTTAGATAATTTAATTTACATAATGTTCAGCAAACGTAGCGGCGTGTTTTATCTTCATTCATGCATGACTTTACACGTCTTAAGATTGAAAAACACGCCGGGAGTTTAATCATAAAATAAAATAAACATATTTTGCTTTGAAAAGTACATTGTATGTTGAGATTTTAAAGCGGACCTATTTAAAATTCATTTAAAAGATAATTAGCAATACATCTGATAATGGGGGCGCGAGCCAGGCCCCACTTGTATAAAACATCTCAACTTGAGATTTCCTCAAGTCGAGATTTTCCTCAGCTGATATCTCCTCAAAAACGGCTTGTATAAAATTTTCTCAAGGAACAGGAGGAAGGCATCGGCTAGGATGTCCTGAAATTCCTTGAGGAATTTTCATACAAGATATTTTCAAGGAGATATTAGCTGAGGAAAATCTCGACTTGAGGAAATCTCAAGTTGAGATGTTTTATACAAGTGGGGCCAGGTGTGTGTGTTTGTGTCCACTGTATTGTGACAGAGGTAAGTAATTCGCTACAGGGACAATGCATGTATAACTTAGTGTATAACACAGGGGACGTATCAGTGGCCTGTTAATTAATCCCCACTACAAAGTCCCTTACTCTATATTCAATAACATGTCTAAATTACAACGTAATTATCTGCTTTAACTCCTACAAACAAATATTTTCCAATATTCACAAGCGAAAGGAGTGACTAGATATATTCAACCACGCTCGCACACTATAAAGAATACATTTGAATATCCTATGTAGTAATTATGTAGATAGAACCGTGCCTCCTGTCTGTTTCTATACCCTTATCGAAGACTTTCAGTTAAAATGATATATATTCTGTTTCAAAATGACAGCAATATTGAACAAAAAACGATGTGAATTCCTTCATATTCCACGTGTCAATATATGTACCAAACTTTAAGAACTATATATATATAATTAAAAAAAAGATAAAAACTTTGTGTATCCGGTCGGAAAACGCTAGCAGTGATTTCATACGATTTTATATAGATTTATATAATATTTACATTTTATCAATATAGACGACCATATCTCTTTGTCCTTATGCTCCGGAACTAGATACTACTTAATGAAATGTTCGTTCCATTGAAAGTATGATAATTAATAGCCTTTTTATCGGTAATTTTTTTTAAAAAGATAACAAACTTTATATCTGTATCTGGTGAAGCTGAATGTAGCCAAAGTTGTTGGCGATGCCAACGTCTCACGTCTGAGACATTTAAGAGCAAGCGGCTTTAATTTTCGATCTTTCCAGTAACATGCATGAATGAATCTGCATGGTTTCCTTCATGTGGATGTGTTTCTGGAAATAATAAAAATTGTTGTAGATGTAATCACACTCGGTCCAGGAGATATTTGCCTTTTCAAGTTGTTTGGAGTTTTTTTACTTAGCCAAATA